CACTGCCTTCACATCACAAGCCCAAACCTCTAAGATCAAAAGATTCGGGTTTCCAGAGATGGTTCTTTTCTCATTAGTGATAAGATACACGAAAGAGGATAGTGTAAATCATCTCGAAACAAGTTCTTGAGGGTTGGCTTCGCGAGCAACGACAAGAGCCACGTCTAGCAAAGTGACTAAGCTAACCAAGGCAAGGATTCTATCGATTGGGCGTAGCAAGGGTTAGCCATGACTTATGCTCTGTGCAAACCAATCAATTGGTCTATATCAATCGACCGTCAAGTAAATCTCTGCAATCGATCAACTTTTTGGTATGTTTATACAAGGCTATTTGAAATTATGATTTAAGTATCATATGATGTTCCGAGTCGACTAAGTCTTTAAAACTAATGGTCAGCCAACCTGAAGACGTGTCATTTGAAGTTTGAGGTTTAGCACCAAAGGTGATCAAAACGAAAGCAAACGATAGGTTTAACGATAGTTCACAAAATCACCTCGGGAGCGAGTCTCTCCAGAGGCGATAATCTGATCGAACGAATCAAATGAGACACTCCCATCGGGCAAGTGATGCAATAAAATCATTCGCAAGTTGGGTACGTATTTAATATTATCATGATCAATTTGAAACAAATTTCAAACAAGCAAAGAACTGACAAATCTATTAAAAGAAAGAAGAGGAAAACGGTGGGGGGACCACAAATGCCTTCCTCTTTCCGCTTCTCAAATAGAAAAAATAAGACTTAAAAGAGTTTTTCCTTTTTCAAACTTCTCCAAAAAAAAAATTATTACAAAGTTTTCCTCTAGCAAGGTTTAGCAGGTAGCTGATTGATCTTCACTACTCGAGGCTTCTGAATTTTCGGAGGAGTCATCGGTCTTATTTGCTATCAAAGCGGAGAACACTTCTAGGTAGAAAATTTAGAGTTGACAAAATTGTGGTGGATGAATCGTTGGACAACATAGTCCACCCCATGCTTGAGTTGACCTGTCAGATCATCCTCATGCTCTTCTAGAGAAACCGACGAGGCGATCTTCTCCTTCAGCTCAACAATCTCTTTCGTCAAGGCCGCTATAATGTTGATGGATTCATGATTTGCTTTGTCAAAATTGTCAAACTTGAATTTCAGAAGGTCCCATTCGTCACAAATTCTCTTAAGATCCATCTCCAGCAAAGCATTCTTCTTACGTGCCTCGTCCGCTATTTCCAATTCAAACACTACTACCCTAGAAAATGGGCACTCTGGGCCACCATCAAGCCTTCAATTACCACAGATCCACATTCTGGAGTAGTTCCCTACAGGGGAAGCCTCCCAGGGTACGACCAAGCTCATCAGACCACAGCAAATTCTATAGAGTTTGGGGCAAGCTCTTGTTCTCATAATTGTGTTAGGGCAGCTTCTATAATTGTCCCCCCATTTCTGTAATTATATGAATACGCCCCTATAAATAGAGGGCGAAAATATGAATAAAAGGGACTTAGTCTGCAGATTTTTCCCAGAGCTCTCTACTGAGAAATTCCTAACGCTTTCTTCTCTCTCTCCTCCTTCTCCTGACTTTAACTTTCGAGGTGTGTATTTCTGAAAGACAATTCAGGATCCAACAATATTTATATATCTAACACCTAACCGCCATTTTTTTACATATTACCATCTTACGTATGCATAAAAAGATCATTTCACTTTTTAAAGTTAAAATAATGATTTTTTTATGCGATATGAAATACTGAATGATATAAATGTAAAAAATAAATAAATGTTAGATGTGTAAATACACATGAAATTGGGTGATATGTTTATAAATGCCCCAAAAATAAAGCAAATGCATTAGTTACATTTGTGTTACTATGCAGGTGGATACAAGTACTCCTAGACCCTAGTCATTCGCCTAGCATGTTCAAACTCCACGAATTGCCAAATAATTGAAAATGCATAAGATAAAAGGGCATTTCCAAAATAACAATTAATATTATATGTAAAAAGAGTTGAACAAACTAATAAAATCATTTTGGATTACACGACTAATTAATAAAGATGTAAATATAAGATAATTCAAATTTCTAATTGACTTGTCATAAAAAAATGTTATATGATCATACACGAATCTCAATACATTTTTGAAAAAAAGATCTTCCAACTTTAAATTTAATATCTTCTCAGCTTTGATTTAATAAATTTATACTTAGATTAAGCATCACGAGAATGTGAGTCTTCTTATACTGAAAGTGATCTAATAAGTGTCCAAATAAAAATAGGTCAAACATTTTCAGTGTTGTTGAAGGTTTGGTGCATCAGATAAAAGGCCAAATAATCACTAAATTTGGTGTGAATATATTCTATTTGAGCAACTGGATAAGAGGAATCTAACGAGCTCAGTGTCTTCTAATTATGAGATCATCAAATCACCTATATATTGAAAAAGCAACCGATAATGAAGGGAATCAAAGTAGATTGTCTAACCGATGTTTTGAGATTCCGACTAAATTTAAAACAATGCTCATCTAAAAACCTATAAATAAACCCTATTTTTCACTTAAGATTGGAGATAAGAAAAAAGTGAGCAGACAATTAAAGCATTACTTGTGAAGAGAAGCACAACTGAAAGATCACCAATCACTGTCGACCACCACCAACAATTATTATAACCAACTACGATTGTTATAATCACTAACTATAGTACGTTCTTGTAGCCTAATCACAACTTTTATAGCTAACCACTACTATTATAAAAAAACCAATTAAAGTCGTTGTAGCGCAACTATAATCGTTACAACTAAAATATTAAATTATATATATGTAATTATCATTTTTTGTAATCTCATTTTATTAATTCATGATAAGAGTTCACTACTATATTTTTAATTTATTACTTTGACTTTACTTTGCTAGATCTTATAATTTTTACCCTTTTTAAAAAGTTTTCACCTAAGAATCTGATTTACTTACATTACTTGCATTTATATCAGTATGTGTGCTGAAAATATATATCAAGTTAAATCTTTAAGTTTTTCTGTCATTCATTTTGAAGTGGAAGTTGTAGGATATATTAGATTATCACACTCAAATCAAGATCAAAATGCGCATTAACTTATCAGATATGATCAAACGAAAAATTATTGCATACAGACACCGCATGCAGAGATGCATGCGGTGTCCGATCTACATCGTAGATCACGGTGATCTACGGTGATAATACAATCAATTTAAAAAAAAATTAAATTGGGGCCCACCGAAATACATCCTCACCGTAGATCATCGTGATCTACGGTGTAGATCGGACATCACATGCATCTCTGCATGCGGTGTCCGTATGCAATAATTTTTCATGGCCAAACAGATCAAGGTTGTCCGTTCGCTTATTTTGGTAGCCATATTTAGTTTTCTTAGTAACTTATGGAGAAATATTAGGTGAGAACTTATTAGATAAGATTCATAGTCCATTGGATTTATATATATTTCATGTGATTTTTCAATTGCATTGCTTGGGATTTTCTTTAGCCTCCTCGCATGACAATATGCATTAGAATTTTCATTTTTTTCATGCAAGAGGACAAACAAAATCATAAGCACAACATCCATGCAAATGAAAGATCGCACCATTAAACTCATAAAAATCACCCGGCCCTTGCAAGTATACAACACCAAACTTCTTACCATTATTCCTAAAATAAAAATAGAAAAAATGGAAGCTCAAACCCAAAAAAAAAAAAAACACAAAAACAAAAACAATGGAGGGAAGTGATCCTAAGCAAACAGAACGAGCTAAGTACGAATCGATGGTATTGCTATGATATTGATAATATTTAGGTTCTAGAGAGCGTAAGTTATACGCACGATTATCAGATAATCTAGAAGATAAAAAAGGGTGAAACTGACATCACATGCAAGAAGCTGAAAACTAGAACAAGTTACATTAAAAGAATAAGAAACGTTGGGTGTCGTTAGGTCGGTAACATATTCCAGAAATAAGAAAAGGTAATCAGACACTGCATAAGTACACACCTAGTCTTAATTCTATACTTCAATAAAATTTATAAAGTACAGGTCACGAGCAAATAACTCTTGGTCTCTATCATATGGTTCTACCCATCTTGCGTCTCGAAACTCGTACCCGTATCTTATTTCTAATACAAGACTCTTGTAAAGACTCTAAATAGTTCATAAGAGAAAAAAAAAAAAAGAAAACTAGACATGCATTAAAATAAGGTTAGCATAAAGCGACCTATATGCAATGTCGTGAGCTATGCCCGACAGAAGGAGAGCTAACAACGCATGCAGAAATGTGATTAAATAAATCATTATAGCTCATCCCTGTTGAACATGTCTCCATACAAAAAGACTGTTTCTAATATACTAGTTTGCACGTCTCACACTCAGTAAACACATAAAGAAACAAACAATGATGTCTGATTAGGACAACCAAACTAGCAGAGAATTATAGTCAGAGCATCAAAAAAAGATTATCTAGTATCTTAATCCTAGCCTAGCAAACTATCTAACTTAGTGTCGTATCACAACATCTAAGTAAAGTGCAGCGCTGAGTCGAAAGACTGGCATATGTTTTTACAGGATCTCCATCTTTGGCCCCATCCTAAAGATTTAAGGATTCTAAGGGTTACCACGAAATGCAGTGGAAAAACTTTTAAAACCCATGAAAATCACCCAGACCTTACAAGTATACAACACCAAACTTCACCCCATTATTTCTAAAATGAGAAAAGAAAGGAGGGAAGATCAAACTCCGAAAAAAAGAACAATGGAGGGAAGTGATTCTAAGCAAACGGAAAAATATCACCTGCGGATGAGATATGTGCGAATTAAGTATGGTACAGTGGTAATGATATGATATTAATAATATTTGGGTATTGAGGTGGAGACACATACGGAGTGTGTGGTGTATATCCTATTCTCTCTAAGCAAAGACCAAAATGGCCGCTGCAGCGATCCATATCCTAGTTACACCAAGCAGCCTTCCTCCCACAGCACCACTTTGATCGTCATCAGCCTTCAGATCTGCCGGCTCGTCATCCGGGCTATCAGCCGGCTCCGCCGCTGCCGGCTGCGGCAATGCGTGCTTGTGTTGTTTCTTCGCCCTCTTCGGCGAATCTGCAACCGCATCTGTGGAACCGCATCTGTGGCCGGCGCCGGCGCCGGCGCTTCAACCGGCTTAAAGAGCTCCCTGGGCTTCAACACCACATCAATGGTGTACACGGCGAGCGGATCCTCATCAATGAGCGTGCCTGTGATCTTTGCTGTATCGACCTTCGTCCTCAGCGTCACCACCTCGCCATCGTTCCGTACTGTGAGGTTATAGTTCTTCTTGGCGCCTTTCGTTGCGAGGGTGGTCATAACATGATTGTTAGATTTCAGCATCTGGATGGAGTAATAGACGGGTATTGCGTGGTACAGGAGAACCGAGAGTTTGTCTTCGGTACTGAGGTTCTTGAAAAGTGGGAGAAAGGGGTTTACGGCCTGATCGACGGGACAAAATGCGGAAAGACCGCTGCCGACATTGGAAGAGAGGGAAGCGGCGGCGTCGGCGGTGGAATCGAGGAGGTCGGAAAAGGTCTTGCAGCCCTTCTTGGCCATTAGGGCAGTGATATTGACGTCTGTGGGAGCAGGGGTGGGAGCCTCTGCCTCTGGGGAGGAAAGGGGAGAGCTGATTTGGATCACAGAAATGAAATAGGGGATTTCCTTTAGAGATTTGACAAAGGATACGGGAGGATTTCCGCCGGAATCAGTGGCGGAGAAGAAGACGCGGCCGGCCCGGTGGAGGGTGATGTTCACGAATCCGGTGGTGCCAGGAGCGGCGCCGGTAGCTTGGAAGAGGGTGGAGGAGAGGGTGGTTCCGCGGTTGAGCTGATGGAGTTGCTTGGCGCCGAAGTAGTCGACGAGGACATGGAGGGAGAGGAGGTTTCTAAGAGTATAAAGGGTAAGGTGCTTGGAGAGGATGGAATTCATTCCAGAGTTGGAAATGGTGAGTACGGTGATGGTTTTCCGTCGGTTGATCTCGCCGGCGAGGTGAGTGGCGGAGAGATAGTGGTTGAAGGTCGAGAAGTCTGGGTGCTGCGCAAGGATCTTAGTGATGTTGAAGCTGCAGATCGGGGTAATGGAGCTGCACAGGATCAGAATTACCAAGGAGAAAACTGGGTCTAGCAAGGTTCTCATTGTAGAGGCGACCGGCTTAATGGGAGGAGGAGGAGGAGGAGGTTTGGTCGATCTGCAGACGGTGGAGAGAGAGAGTGAAGCGGACGAAGAAGACGCAGGGAATCAATTATTTGCTCCAGGCGTCGTGGGTGTTGCTGCTGTGCCTATTTATTAATTATTATTGTTTTTAGAATTTTAATAAAATAAAATAAAATAGAGACAAAAATATGTGTAATTAGAGGTGTAATCGGGCTCAGCTCGTGTTCAACTCGTTTATATTTGTAGCTCAAAAAGTGTGTTCGTGTTCGGCTCGTTTGCCACGAGCTATTCACGAATAAAGCGTCTTATTAACAAAATTAATTATATAGTCATAAGATAATAACAATTTGAGCATGATTTAAAATTTATTATTTATATTAAAACATCATTTGAATCTAATTTAATAATTTTTATTCTATTTTTTTAATCAATATTTTAATTGGTTATAAATCTTTGTAGCCTTTTAGTCAATTAGATTTTTTATATATATATATATCTATATATACTTGATGAGTAGTATTTCGAGCCAAAACGAGCCGAACACGAGCGAACACATTTTAGTTCGTGTTCGGCTCTTTAACTTATCGAACGAAATTAACGAGCCGAACACGAACTTCTTAACGAGTCGAACATGAGCTGTTCAAGAACAACGAACCGTTTTGACAGCCCTATGTGCAACTCACCTTTTAGTTAAAAAAAAATTAATGTAAAACGCACCCCATGTTTTTTTTTTATTTATTTGTAGATTTATAATAACTATTTTTTATTTTTAAAACTAAAATTTGAAAATTACGTAAATTAAGAAAAATATGAATTAAATTCAACTACTTGCAGAGCTATTTTAATTAATTATTTTAATAAGTTTAAACTGAATTTAAAATACGTTTAATTGCCCTATCGTTTGAAAATAAAGTATTAATTTGTTTTTTAAGTTACATTAACTTAACTTGAGTTTACAACAAAATATAAAGCATTTTTTTTATGCACCAGTAAATATAAGAAAATAGAAAGTATAATCTTAAAAGAATCATCTTCTTTGATGTAATTAAATGATGCATGTTTCAAAAATATATAGTTTCAAAAATATATAGTGGCTTTACAAATGATGTCCATCTTCATCTTCTTTTGCTCTTTTTCCAGTTTACGATAATACCTTGTACATATATTAAAAGCTAATGTATATGTAGTAATTTAATTTCATTCATATTTATATAACTTCATCATAAATTTCTCTTAATTTACATACTTTTGGGATTTAAATTTTTAAATGAAAAATAGTTATTATAAATTGGCCAAAAAACTAACTTTTATATATACGTGTGTGTGTGTGTGTGTGTGTGTGTGTTAATTTTAAGTGCATTCCTTTATAGCCCTAGAACTACTTCACCTTATTTTGGAAAAATTTGTATTATTATCAATAATAATAATCATTGGTAGGTCATATCTGTAAATAATATCAGTTCATTTGAAGTTTCTGACTAAAAGAGTTGTAGTTTTAGTCAAGAATTTCCTCGATCCATTGTGAGAAGTAATTGATCATGACAAGAATGTATTTTCTCTGTCTCATGCTAAGGGGAAAGGGTCGTAATAGGCCCATTCTCCATATTGCAAAGGGCAACAGACTATTTATCGATTGCAGCATTTGCGATGGTTGCCGTCGCTTGACAAACTTTTGACTATTCTCGCACATTCTGAAAAACTCTTCGGAGTCTTTTTTCAGCATAGGCCAATAGTAACCTTGTATGAGAATCTTGTTTGTAAGGGTCATTCCTCCAGGGTGACTTACATACTCTCTTGAATGAACTTCTTGCAAAATTTTGGTCTTCTTGTTTTTTTTTATGCATTCGAGGGAAATAGAAGTGACCGCCTTATGAATAATTTTTCCTTGATGATTACATAACGTGCGGAACTGGCCATAAACTTTTGAGGATCCTTGTCTTCTACCAGTATAATACTTAATGATATGCATTCTTTTATTAGTTTAATCCAACTAACAGCTGACTCTGCTTCAAGGTTCATGACTTTGGCTTCCTTGATAACATGTTGCTCTAAATTGATAAACCATATATTATAGATGTTTTTTTTTTCTTTGGAGAGAATTCAATGAATTGGTTTTCCTCTTGCATAATATATTTAGTTTGGAAGTGTTCAAGCTTTTTATTTTTGCTTTGGCTTTCACTAGATATTTGCACATGACCTCATCTCACCTCTCAAATAACTTCTTGATATGAATTACTTCCATTTGGGAGTCAGACTTAACTAGGAGATTAGTACTCTGATTCCTAATGAGAATCTTATTCCAATATCTCGTGCTTTGTATCCTGCTTAACTGTTGGTTGTATTGAAGTTGATCTCGATCAAATGATATAAAATGAATCCAGAAGGGATGTGCAAGACTATACCTACTCCTAAACCTATGTTTCTATAGGTTTCATCTACGTAGAGTGTTTAGAGCTTGTGTAGCTCAATATTTATTTATTCGTTCGTCTATCCTTCAGAAAAACCACCTAGTAAGTAATTGATCACTTGAGCTTTAATGTCCATTTTATGTGTGTAAATTATATCAAATTGGCTCAATTTTATGGACCATTTGAGTAACCTCTCCAAATGTTCGGGTTTGGACAATACAAATCTAAGAATGGTCAGTCATGACATGCACCATTTAGGCTTGAAGGTAAGAGCGTAACTTAATGAAATGATTTGTAACAGTGTAAGTTTTTTCAGTATCATATATCTTCATTTAACTCCCTAGAGTACTTTACTCACCAAATAGATTAGAAATTGCTTCTTATTCTCCTCACAAACAATTATTAAGCTGAAAAATTCTTTTCCAACTCCCAGGTAGATGAATGAATATTCTTCTAGCTTAGGGCTTTGCAATAAAGGAGGTGAGGCAATCATTACTTTTAATTGCATAAAAGCTTGATCAAATTATTTGGTTCAATCAAAATATTTAGAATTTTTCATGAATTAAATGAATAGATAGCATCGTTTTCCAGACTTTGATATAAACTTATTGAGTTCAGTTATTCACCCAGTTATGATTTACATTCCTTTAAGATTATTTGGTGGAAACATATCTAGTATGGTTTATACCTTCTCAAGATTCAGTTTGATTCCCTCGGGTGTGAGCAGGTATTTATAGATTTTTTTTAGGTAGCTTTGAATGTATACTTCAGATAATTGAGCTTTTCTTGTGGTAGTAAAATTTTCTTCCAGTTTTTGTATATGTAGTTATAGTGATTAACTTTTCACTAGAAGGTCATTAATATAGATTTCAATATTTTTTCCCTTTTATCTGTAAAAATTAGATCCATCAACCTTTGATAGGTTGCACTGATACTTCTCAAGTCAAAAGATATTATATTGTAAAATTTTATCACCTCCTAGTGATGAAGGGATTTTATTTTCACATCAGTAGGGTGCATATTGATTTGATAATATCTGAAGAATGCATGCCCCACCGCTGAGTAGACCAGTGTGTTAATTTGTGGCAGTGGATGTCTATTTTTTGGGTATGTGACATTGAGGTTTGCGAAGACAACGTACATCTTCCACTTGTTGTTGGATTTTCACACTATCACAAATATTGGCAAGCTTTTCATAGTATTATACTTCTCGGATGAATTTGGCATCAAGTAGCTTCGTAAGTTCTTGCTGAATAGGCTGAGCTAGGGATTTTTTCATGGTTCTCATCTTTTTGCTTGATGTGCTTGGCTCATGAACTCACATTTAGCTTGTGGGGTGATGTTGATATTGAGTTTAGGCATTTCATTAGACATCCATGTGAACACGTTGTGATGATCTCTCAGGGTGGCGATTAGTTGGTCTGGATGATTTTTTTTAATTGGACCTGATCTAGAAGGTTCTACTTATTTCTTCAAAAAGAGGTGTTGGTTTTGAAATCATAGTTACTTCAAGGCCACTAAATTTATTATTGTCAAGCTAAAGGTCTTCATGCACACTCTTCACATTACTTAGTAAGTTTAAAATTAGTCTAGTTCTCTCAAATAATGATGACTTATCCTCCCGTCAGAAATTTTATAATAATATGATAAGTGGATGTCACCGCCTTGAAAATGTTAAACAACGACCTTCTGAAGATGACGTTATATACATTATCATTTTCCATGATGATTAATTCGATCAATGTCATGTATTGTCAATCTCCTTCTCCCTATGCCACAAACAAGATGATACTTTGTGAGTCTCCTTTCCTTAACTACAAAACCCTTAAGAGTGGATAAGAGGTGAGAGCGAGTCAATTTAAAAACATGCCAACCTTCTCAAATACCCCTTTCAAAAGAATGTTAATGGAGTTTTCTATGTCAACCAGGATACTCTTGATATGGTAATGAGCTATCACCATGATGAATACAATGACATCATCAAAGGGGTTCCCGCTAGTAGGCATATCGATGTATGTAAAAGTGACAATAGGGTGGATTGGTGTTGCACCCTTAAATAGAGTGGTTGAGTGGGACTCTTATATCTTAAATTACTTCAAGCTAGGCCTTCATAAAGATTTGGGTTTGACACCTCCAAAGATGGACAAGATAACTCCGACGATGTGTACAAATCTCACAGGGGTAGACTCATTGTTGGTGTTTTCAGTAGATTTCATTCCTTGCTTTTGAGTGTTGGATTTAGGGGCGACAAAATTTTTCAAAATTTCTGCTTTTATCAATTCTTCAATGAGGTTGTGGAGGTGTAGTAATTTCTCTGCATCTTGATTGTGATTCCAATAATACACACAATATCTGTTGGGATCATTCACAAGAGTTCTCGCCTTCATTAGAAATAGCTTCATGAAGAAGTCTTTATTCTAGATGGCTTCAACAGTTTAGAACATTAGCACCCTCAGTGGTGTGAGTTGGGTTAGAGGGAACTAGGATGGTTCATGCCTCCTTTCATGCTTTCTTCTGAGTAGTATTCTATCATTATTTTCCTACTCCTATCTTTGAAAGTGTTTGACTGGAGCGTTTTGGTAGCTCTTTCTGCCAAAGCAACTCCTTAGGTTATCGCAGTCTTCACGTGAATGGTTTAGAAACTTTCCTTTGGGCTCTAGTGGTATGGAGGGGCTAGGTTGGGAATTATATCACTAAAAAAAATGTGATTGATTGTGAACTCCAAGAGCTCAATTAGTGTTCTCAACTTTTGTAAACCAAGTGTGTATCTAAATGGAAATTCACGCAGGCCTTGAGCTAAGACTGCATGGGGAACAACAAATTTTAAGTCTCGAACCATCAACATTCCTTACTAGAAATATTCGATGAAGCTCCTCATGTTCTCCATGAGAACTTAATAGATCTTTAGAAGAGTCTGAAAGTTCTTCAGTGACTTTTATGTGCTAGCAAACTGAGTTATGAACATGTTCTTGAACTCTTTGAAGAAGGCAGTGACTTCTGCACATAAGTTATTGAACTAGCACAAGGCTGATTCTTTCAACATCATAAAATATTATTAATATTTTAGTGCGCTATTTATTCGCAATAGACATGTAGCTAACTCAAAGATATATGATTTACTTGATCTGATTTCCCTTTATAATATTCTAGAGAGGGAATCTTGAACTTCCATGGTGCCCACACTTCCACAATCTCTCTTAGAATGTGTTCTCCAATGGTTTTTGCTCATCCTCCTCCTTATGGCTCCTTTTTTCTGAGTATTTAAAAGGTTCATTACTCCCTTCTTCTTTTTCTCCTAGCCTTAAACTAAGAGTCTGCTTAAGTTTTTCTATTGGTATGTCCTACCTAGGCAGCTCTTGCCTAGTGGTCCTTATCACGACACTTTCATATACAAACCACCAACTCGTATGATATTGTAGAATATGATATGAAAGCTTATTTTCTTGAATCTTGTATAGCTTTCATGATTTGTTATCTCAGCTTATTGATCTGCTACGTCACAAACTCTCAAATGCAATCCCTTATTTTTCTTGCAGAATTTGAGTACAAACTTCATGTTCATCGCACCTTTTAGGTTGTTGAATCATTTTAGAATGTATGGTTCAATATTATTTACGAGTTCATACAACCCGATAAAGACATTATGAAGAATTGGAGAAGATAATGAACATGTTGCTAGAGCTCTTGGAATTAGCTCAAAGAAAAGATATGTGCTTCTCGACAATAGGAGGAGGAGAGAGAATGTGTGTATTTTAGGAAACAGAGAGATAGCCTCAGAGATTTTTTTCTTTATAGATCCTTGATCCCTCTTATGAAAGCTCCTTTTGACATCTCTTTCATATATGAGATAAAAGAAATATAAAATTACATTCCGTACAAATCTGTCTTGGTGAAAAACTCTAGATACAGGTGTTAGGTGGTGACATAAATAAGGATTGACACATTTAATATGAGATAATGACGTTTTTTTTTTTCTAGCAGCTCGTTAGACCCAAGCTAGCACGACCATTTCAACAGATGACTCAACTTTAGAATGACCTGATATTCTAATTTGTGCCTTTAAAGCATGTAAAGCTTATTGACCCTTATATTGTACCCTTAAAAAAATCTTATTGAAGTTTATAGTTGTATTTTAGGCATACAAAAATCATTTTAATAAAATTTTGTACGGTGGTGCCTCATGATTATTGAATAGGTTGGACACCAAGCATCCCTTATGCACAGTTCTTTTGCACCAGGAGTTCACCGACTCACGAAGACTCGGCGTATTCGCATTATCGAACCGGAGGTAAAATGGCATTTCCGAAAATTCAAGAAAAACGAAGGGCAACATGCCGAAGGACACTACGTAAGGCTAGAGTGCTCTCGGAAGTCTCGGAAAGCAACTAGCTGGCGTCGAATGGCTTTTCGCTTCCCCTCTTCTCCCTCCCCTTAATTCTGCACCTCAAGAAGAGTGGCGATTGCTTTGGTGTTGGTCCTTCAATGCCCGTGGGGGCCCTTTCTCGGTGAATTTCGCGGCAGCAGGCTGTTAGGGTGCGGTTGCCGGTTTCGATTGAAGGATGTTCTTCAGCGGGGACTCGACCTCCCGCAGGAGAGTGAACTTGGGAGGACGTAGCTCCAAGGAGAGTGATCGGCAGGTGGTTCTTGAGCAGGCGCGGGTTGAGCGGAAGCGGAGGCAAGCCTTTCGGCAGGAGACCTCTGCTGCTATTAAGATCCAGGTTTGTTTGCTACGGTATTACTGGGTATTTCTTTTGTTTGGCAGGGGAAATTGTTTGATTTTTGAATTCATTGGGGGGTTTTATTGTAAAAAAACGATTGTTTAGTATTTTTCTTTGGTGTCCGGGCAGGGTTTTGCTTAAAAGTTAATCGGCATTCTGGTTGTTTCTGTATTCGAGACATCATTCTGCTGTAGGTTAGGATGGCTTGGAGTATGTAACATCTGATTTGCTTTTCGTATCAGTTTGACTGATTTTAATTCTGGCTTGTTTGCTGATCGTCTTCCTTTGACTGATTTGTAATTTCTTAATAGTGATATATTAGTTAGGCATAAGCATTTCCTTCTTGTTTCAATTTCTGATACCCTCAATGCAGCAACGATACAATTTTTGATCTGGGTTATTGTTGGTGGATTGAAATAATTTTTTGTGAAGATAAAGTTGAGTCAGCTTTTAACATCATGGTACCGCTGTACCCTAGGAAAGGACAATTGGATTTTAGCATTGCATTTATGCATTTAATAGTTTATCATAGGTGGAAGAAATATCTAGCTGGCAAAAAAGGGCGTATTTTGCCGTTTAATGTGTTTCAGAAAGTCTACCTAGAGCAATTGAAAAGGATTTGATAAGACAACTTTATTTCTGATTAGTTTTACTTTTCATGAAAACTTCCAATTAATCATGTTGAATCTTTGCATGTATTAGTACATATACACACTTCGACTCTTTTCCTCATAGCATCTAAATTTGAAGATTGAGTATGGTTTGTTGTGCTTTTGACAGAAAGTATGTCATAACCAAATCAGGCTTGTAAGATCACAATGGTGGTATTAATCAAGACTATGATGTGTGTTGTGGGAGGGAAATGGAGAGAGAGAGAGAGAGAGAGAGAGAGAGAGAGAGAGAGATGTGGAAGGGTTGGTTATCGGAGGGTTGTGTAAGTATAAACCTTTCCCACATGGTTTACAAGCAGATTAGTTGTCTTAGATGCTACTCAAGCCTCAATTTGCGGAGCTGTTTCTTTGCGAGGGGAGAAGGAGAAGTAGTAAATTCATAAGGATTCATATGAGCTATACAGTTACGTTTTCCCTCTTCCTATGTTTAAACTCTTGTCTAATAACTAGGAACAATATGCTCCACTGCTATTTATTATGAGAGGCTACGAGATTGACAACACAAGTTGTAGGTCATGCAGAAGTTTATGGCTTTATGTTGAAAGCCCATTGTCCCACCAATAGAGGGGGAAAATTCAATTATTGGATTACGAGTTTTTACGCATTAGGTGATCGAAATTCACTCACTATGGAGTCTAAGAAGTAGAAAATTCATTAGGACACGTGAGCATGACTGTCAAAAAAAGGTCGTTGTTCGCGAACAACTCGTGTTCGGCTCGTTCGTTAAATAAATGAGCCGAACACGAGTAATTTTCTTAAACTTGAATTATAAACACGAACAACTCTTTCTTCTCTCCTGTTTGGCTCGTTTTAGTTCGAAATAAAAAAAAAAATGTATAATTTTATATAATAATATTATATATATATTATTTATATAATAATATACTATATATATTTATATCTAAGTTTAAATCATAACAACTCGTGTGGTAATGTGGTTATGTGCTTTCCAATTTTAACAAGGTAATTTCGAGCTGAACATGTGTTGAACATGAAAAAGAATATTTAAATCGAGCTGAACACGAACACACGGTTCACGGGCTAATTTCGAATATGATCCGATTTCGAACTCGAGCAATTTCGAACGAGTCAAACACGAGCCAAGCCTGAGCTCGCTCAAGCTCGACTCGTTTACAATCCTACATATGAGCTATAAAATATCTATTTACCTCTTCCAATGGATCTTGTTTAATCTCCTTCCTAATAACTAGAAATAATGGGGTTCATTTCTATTTATCAAGAGGTTTCATGATCGACAACATGAGATGTAGATGATGTAAACATGTAGGACTATGTTGAAAACTGTTGTCCCAATAGTAGAGAGAGAACATTCAATTTTTATATTATGACTTATTACTCATTAGGTGATCCAAAATCGCTCGCTCACGAAGGAGTTAAAGAAGTCTGACATCTCGATTGAACTTAAGAAGATTTTTTTGAAAAAAAAAAAAGCTCTAGAAAAGTTTGGGTCAATGATAAATGTGAAACATTTTGAATTCCCACCCATTTTTAATATTCTCTTCGCCATCTTGTTAAAGAAGCCGCCCCTTTCGATTATTATGGATGCTCGGCCACGCTTTCATTTAGCTCTTGAGCAAGCAGAGAGGATGGTGATTGAAATTTTGATATTTGAAGTGAACAACTCACAAAGTTGGATGTCTTTTGATATTGTTCGGTGTTATTCACTCTTCTAAATTTGGTTGAGGGTGGATACCCCCGCAACTCAATTTTTTTTAGGAGTTTTTTAGCCTGGTGCTTGGAGAGTGTAAAAATTGTTGGAGGATTGTTGTCTTAACATTATTTAATTTATTAAGTTTAAATTTTCTATACAATTACGATTTACCTCTTCCAATGGATATTGTTTAATCTCCGTTCTAATAACTATGAATAATAGGTTCCCTTGATATTTATTATGAGAGGCTATGAGATTGACAACACGATGTGGTTGGTGTTGCAGAAGTTCATGACTTTATGTTGAAAGTCTGTTTTCCTACTAGTAGAGGGAGAAGATTTGATATTGGATTATGAGTTTTTATGAATCAGGTGATCAAAACTCGCTCACTCACTAAGGAGTTGAAGAATACAAAATTGATACGGACACATATGAGCTATACAATATGGGTTTACCTTCAAATGGATCATGTTTAATCTCCTTCCTAATAATTAGAAATAATGGGTTCCATTTCTTTTTACCAAGAGGTTGCAAGATTGACAACACGAGGTGTAGATGATGTAAATGTTTCGGACTTTATGTTGAAAGTTGTTGTCCCAACAGCAGAGGAAGAACATTCAATTATTGGATTATGAGTTCTTATGCATTAAGTGATCCAAAATCGCTCTCTCACGAAGAAGTTAAAGAAGTTTGACATCTCAGTTGATCTCAATATGATTTTTTTTTTGTTGTAGAAAAATAAAAGCTCTAGAGAAGTGTATATAATGATAAATCTGAAACATTTTGAATTTCCACCCATTTTTACTATTCTCTTCTTCAATTTGTTAAATCTCTTCGATTATTATGGATGTCCACCATGCTTTTTTTCGGTTCTTGAGCAAGCGGAGAGGGCGGTGCTTGAAATTTTTGTATTTAAAGCGATCAACTCACAAAGTTCGATTTCTTTCGATAGTGTTTGGTGTAATTTACTCTTCTAGATTTGATTAAGGGATATACCCCCACCGCTCAATTTTCTTGAAGGATTTTTTTAGTTTGGTGCTTGAAGTGGGTAGAAATTATTGGATGAATTTTGTCTCAACATTATTTAGTTTATTGAGTTCGATTTTTCAATACAATTCCGATTTCCCTCTTACAATTGCTATTGTTTAATCCCCTTTCTAATAACTAGGAACAAGAGGCTTCATTGCTATTTATAATGAGAGGCTACGAGATTGACTACAGAAGGTGTAGGTGATGAAGAAGTTTAGGACTTTATGTTGAAAGTCTGTTATCTCACTAGTAGAGGGAAAATATTCGATTATTGGATTATGAGGTTTTACGCATCAAGTGATCGAAACTCGCTCGCTCAATAAGGAGTTGAAGAAGTAGAAAATTTATAAATACTCCTATGAGCTTTACAACATGGATTTACCTCTTCCAATAGATCTTATTTAATTTCCTTCCTAATAACTAGAAAGAATGGGCTGCATTTCTATTTATCAAGTGATTGCAAGATTGGCAACACGAGGTGTAGATGATGTAAACGTGTAGGACTTTATGTTGAAAGTTGTTGTCGGAGGGAGAACATTCAATTATTTGATTATTAGTTCTTGCGCATTAGATGATCCAAAATCGCTCACTCACGAAGAAGTTAAAGAAGTTTGACATCTTAACTGATCTTAAGATGACTTTTGTTAGAAAAATAAAAACTCTAGAGAAATGTAGATCAATTATAAATGTGAAACATTTTGAATTCCCAACTTCTTTAATATTCTCTTTGCTAAGTTATTAAAGAAGCTGATCACTTCGATTATTATGGATGCTCCACCAAGCCTTCATTTTGTTATTGAGCAAGCAGAGAGGATGGTGATTGAAATTTTTGTATTTGAAGTGATCAACTCACAAAGTTGGATGTTATTTGATAGGGTTTGGTGTAATTCATTCTTCTAGATTTGATTGAGGTTGGATACCCTCACCGCTCAATTTTCCTGATTGAGTTTTTTGGTCTGGTGCTTGGAGAGGCTATTAATTGTTGGAGGAATGTTGTCTTAACATTATTTAGTTTAATTTTCCTATTCAGTCACGATTTGCCTCTTCCAATGGATTTTGTTTAATCCTCTTTCTATTAACTAGGAACAATATGCTCCATTCCTATTTATTATGAGAGGCTACGAGATTGACAACACAATTTGTAATTGATGCAGAAGTTCATGATTCTGTTTTCCCACTAGTAGAGGGAGAACATTTGATTATCGGATTATGAGTTTTTATGCATCCGATGATCGAAACTCATTCACTTACTATGGAATTGAAGAAGTAGAAAATTCATAAGGACTTATATGAGCTATACAATATGGGTTTACCTACAAATGGATCTTGTTTAATCTCCATCCTGTAACTAGAAATAATGAGTTTCATTTCTATTTATCAAGATGTTGGAAGATTTACAATACGTGGTGTTGATGATGTAAACTCATAGGACTTTATGTTGAAAGGTGTTGTCCCAGTAGTAGAGGGAGAATATTCAATTATTAGATTATGAGTTCTTATACGTTAGGTGATCCAAAGTTGTTCACTCACAAAGGAGTTACAGAAGTTTGACATCTCAGTTGATCTTAAGTCTACTTTTTTGTAGAAAAATAAAAGCTCAAGAGAAATTTATATCAGTGATAAATGTG